GGAGAACATGCAAACTCCATGCAGAAAGATCCTGGTGTCCTCACCGCTGCTAGCTACGAGATGTTGCTATTGTATGAATAATGGATCCCATTTAAGAAAACATAACGGTCAGTGATAGAGATGAGCTGTCCTACCTGGCAGTCTCTTTGAAGACGAAGTAGGAGTGTCTTGAACAGACAGCTTTCCTGCTTGGGCCTTGGTTGAGTACGTCTCCTCTGTGGAATCCAGGGAACCTAAAGACACAAACCATTAATATTCACACACATATACACCGACAAACACTTACATACCTGGTGACACACAGTCCTTTAATACTCTTTAGAAGTGCTAGTCTTTTCTACTAGTTGCTACATACAGGGCTTTAACTATAATTAAATCCAACATTCTTGTTTTTATTGATCGTTCTTTTCACTCTGGCCACTGGCACTTAAAAAAAAAAAACTTGAATAAGCCTCGTCTTGTGAGCAGCCACGTTGCGCAACCCTTTCTTTTTTAGCCATGATTTGAAAATGACTCGTGCATCTGCTTTTTACAGTTTATGGTGTATTAGAATATGGTAGAAATTACATTTGGAACCATACAGAAGCTGCATCTTCTCAAAAATAAGCAATAATATGAATATTTTGGGGCATTTTGCAGCCATTTACCTCTCTAGCTAGATCGAGACCTGTTGGTCATACAAAAATGTGTTTTAAAAAGTGGTAACTTTTATTTTTGGTGTCCTATGCATATATTGTGTGTGATATTGCTCTTCAATATTGCTAATTCTGAGTTTAGAACCTGTGCATAAAAACATGGCATGTGTGTTTGTGTCAGTCATGTATACATTTTAATAAATATCTTCAGGATACGTAGATACAGAAAAGAACGATTAAATAAGGCATTTGGGAAGTGCATCATATGGGGTTTAATTTCAAGGATCTCCAGTGTAATATAACAATGTGAATATTGAATGCATTTTACAGGCAGTTGCACGACATGAGGCAGAAAAGTTATGAGCAGTGAGCTCAACTCCTAAAGAGGTGTGAGAGTGCAGAGAAAAAAAAGTGTCACTATTTACACATTACATTAACAAGGTGGTTGTAGCCCAAGAATGGCTTTGTAGCACCAAGTGTGTGAGCATTGCAATGACTATCAATGTCCCAATATGAAGCAACGTGCGGTACCTGCAGCCAGGTTGAAGGTCCTTCCCTTAATGGAGCTCTGAACTGGAGAGAACCAGTTCAGCACTGAGCCGACCAGAGGAAGCTGCCTCAGCATCCCCTTGAACACACAGACATCGAGGAATATTTAAATTGGTCAGTAAAGCAAAAGAGTAAACAACAATATGAGCAACTAACACACACCTCTTCGATGAGTTTCTCCTCATTGGCCTTTTGCAGTTGCAGCTCTGCCTCCAGGATGCCTTTCCTCACCACCTCAGTCATGTTCTCCAGCAGCTACACAGGAAAGACTTAATATCAATGAATGAGCCTCGATACACTCTAGATCACTGTGGCGGATTTCCTTTTAAAAAGTACTTCTTATTTAGTTCTAACTAAAGTCTGACGTTTAACATTTAGCTCTTCGGTGCAAGCAAACTTTTTTTGTACCTCCAATGACCTGAACCTGACGTGATGAGCAGCCTCAGCAAACAGTCGGATTCGGAAAACCACCATCTATCTTCTACTGTTAAATCTTTGGTAAAAATGTAGGCATCACATTGAGTCAAATATGTAGACACTGTTTGGATCCTATCCCAATTTGAGATCTCAAAAACTGGTAAAAAAGGGCTACTTGATCAAAATACTGGGAGAGCTGGTTCTAAAGTTACATTAAGTTGATCAGCTTTAATTATTCGTACAACTTTTACAGGGAGAATGTCACTCCTGAAGAGAAGATGCTTAACGCTGTGGAAGATGTTGGAACTACGAAAACACTTCGTCCACTGGTCAACGTGTCTACATCTTGCGTAAAGTCAGAGTAACTTAATAGTACTGTGACCCCACAATGGATCCCAAAATGTAAAAGAACCAACATCGAATTCTCTGTCCATTTCGGGAAAATGGTGACGGAACCTTGAGATACTTTAAAAATTGCTTCTGTGGAGCTATGGCAATGAATCAGGCAAGATGTCTTAAGTGGCATGCTTTTTTGATGGGAGAGCAGAATGACCCTCTATGAGCAAAACCTCCAAAAACGCCCAAGAAACTGAACGAATTGTGCATCTGGATCTAACAATCAGGAAAATTGCTGACATGTTCAACATGTCATTTGGAATAGTTGAAGCGTATCAATTCTAAAAATGCACAGCACCACTGTGAAATTTGTGCCCAAGCTCCTGACTCCTAAGCAGAATACGCACCATGCTGAAATCAACCATCCATCCATCCATCCATCCATCCATCCATCCATCCATCCATCCATGCATCCATCCATCCATCCATCCATTGCTTTATCCTCTGTAGGGTCACATTGGGCTGGAGCCAAGCCCAGCCAACCCTGGACAGGTCACCAGTCTATCAAAGGGTGGATTTCAATCAACAGTCTCTAAATGACCCAAACTTTGCTTCGAGGGTCATCAATGATGACTAGACCAACAAGCAGTCTTTGCATTGGAGGAGCCTGTAATCTCCAAGACCAAAGAATGCATACCAGGAGGCGTTTGGGTCAGGTGCAATGCCAGCCAGGTGTTGGACAAACTTGAATTGGACGCACTTTTTGTGACTATTCATTGACCTTCATGTATTCTATAAAATGAGCGTGTTAGTTACCCTTCCGCTCTCCACTATGTCTCTCCCCAGGGCGGCTATTGTATCCACTAGCTCGGAAACATCCACATCCTCGGTTACCATGCCCACAAAAATGCAGTCCTCCTCTGTTCCAAACTCGGAGCCTGGAACGAAACAAAGAGAGCGAGGAGAGAGAGAGACGACAGAAAAGTTAAGGGACATGAATACAGCGTGAACACATCGTCTCGCACAAGCCTCTCAGATGTGAAGACAAACTAACCAGCGGAGAAGATGATGTCAGTGTCAAGGTCTTGTAGTTTCTTCAGCAGCTCAGTGTTAATTTTCTCCAGCTCCTGCTTGCTCCGGATCTCATCCACTCCATCAGCCTGCGGCTCGTACCTGAACATAAACACATCCATCACAGCCCCGTGCTTGATTCCAGCCGTGCGCCACAGCAGATCTTGTCATTACATTGTTAAACGCGCAGTAATTAGAAATAAAACACGCAGCAGTGCTACTTTCGGCTTTGAGTGATGTTTTTTTTTCTTCCATCCAGACAGAGGTGTCAGAGAGGTCGATGTGTGATACTTGGCTTTTGGTGTGTGCAGTGTCTCTGCCTGTGAACAGCAGCGTGTGGAGACGTAATGATTTGATGAATAGAGGAAAGCAAGAGAGTAAACAAACATTATGAGCAACATCCTTATCTAAATCTGTTCTGTCACTATTACTCACACACACACACTCACGCACCCTCCCCTACGTCTCTCACTGCAACTACCCCCAACACCTCCGCCAACCTGCCTCCTCCATTCCCTCATATCACAAACCATCCATCCATCCATCCATCCATCCATCCATACACACACATAAGAAGCCACTCTACCAAAAAAAAGAAGATCTGCTCTCATCATAAGTCAAAAACCCACCACTAGCCACCACCTGATACCACCATGTCTACAGTAAAGCATGGTGATGGCAGCATCATGCTTCAGAGGTGCTTTCCCAGGACGGGGAGACTGCTCAGCGGCTTCGATCTAGCTTCCCTCATCAAGACTTGATCGATGAAGTGCTTTTCCATCTCTCTAGTGTGTGTCTGAACTTCTGTCAGAGAGATCTCTGGGTTCTTGGACACCTCTTTCTTGTTTGGTTGTTAAATGTGGCCATGGAGTCCTAAAGGTTCTAAACTTCTTCCTTCTTCCAATAGTGGCCTGCTATTGAGGCCATTGTGTTGTGTCTGGTTAGATCAGGGTAAAGTCATAAAACCTGTTCCTCACCACAGAGAGATTTCCTTGGATGCCATTGTTTGGTTTTCATCCTGATCTGTAGTCTGGACAGTATGGCTGTCCCCGACAAAAGGTTTTTTATTGTCAACTAGTGATCTTCAGTTTAAGCCATTAGTCCACTAGCCGTCCCATGTTTATGGTGTTAATGTAACTATCTAAATATATTTATATATGTTGAGGGGGAATCAGAAAATGATTTGAGTTCCAGGACTGAGACAGAATGTTTAGGCCAACAATGCTACCATTGTGCTACATTACAGAGAACAACAAACCCGCAGCTAATAGTAAGATTACACAGGCTGAACACAGGATATGTCTCTTTCTACACTATGTCCAGTCAAACAAATTAGCCGAATTGATATACACCTGTTTATGTCATGCATTTCAGTTCTTACATTACATTTATGTTGCTATTGCATGTGTTTTGTCCTGTCTATATCTCTGGCTATCTGTGGCTCTGAAGCAGCTTGTTTCTGATCTGCATCCTCACCATCCTGCTCAGAGTTTATTGTAACCTTGTTGACTCTTTGTTGCTTCTCACCAGTTATCTTTTCTCCTCTCAACCCAGTTGGTCCAGATGGAGTCTATTTCTGTTGGAGGTTTCTCGTTGTTCCTCCACACTGTCATCAAGTGTTCGTTCAAAGAGAACTGTTGGGTTTCTCTCTCTAATATTGTAACGTCTTCATGTTAACATTCAAAACACCCTGAGAGCATATCTGTACTATGTACTTAATTTAGTCTTGTACATTTGTATTGTGTAAAGGACCTTGGGTAAACGTTTGTTGTACAATATGAATAACGGAGACTTGACTTGACCGGTTCAAGAACTGTTTGATCTATTTACTACTGAAACTACGGTCCAATTAAGTGCAAAAGGCGAAGGCGCCTGAATCTGGAATCAAATTTGTGTCAATATAATCAAACAAAACTGCAAAACTGATGAGCTGACAGTGAGGGCAAAAAAGGAAAACCAAGAGTTTACACAATGACACAGATTATTTGTTTCCAGGTTCTAGGTTGAACTTCTGAGATTTCATTGTGTTTTGCTTTGGGAAGTTTTAGTCTGTCACATTCTTACTTTTGGTTAATATTTAGGAAGCCTTGTTCGATTATATGGACACATCTGACTCCTTATCTGACTTCACTGTGGTACTCATGGGTCACAACATCTCCATGCTGACTGTCATCTTGCGATCTCACTGCAGCGTGATCTCTAGTTTGTTGTGGTTGTGCCAAAGCTTTAACAATCCCTCTGACAGACTGATCTGAAAATAATCCTACATCTCAACAACTTTTAACACTCAAGATCTTTAAACTGATGTGATTTTCTTTCATTTACTACAGAGCTCTTAATCGTCCACCCAGGCTTACCGAACAGCTCCCAGGCCCGGCCAGCTGTGATCCTCTACGTATCTAAGCGAGGGTGAATGTCGGTGGATCTGCTCTCTGAAGTCCTGTATCAGGCACAACGTGGAATTCATCACAGGAACCAGCTCTATCAGCTTCACTACCAGGTCGTCAACATCCTCCTGCTGGGTCCCCAGGACTGGATGGGAGGTAGAGGTCAGAGTCATGACATGTTCCTGCTCACGTCTTCACCCTTGCTAACAAAATCTATCAATACTAGAAATAGACAAAGGCAGAATGTTGTGTTTGTGTGCATTCATGTCACCTGCAGCAGTCAGCAGGGGGCTGAAGCGAACACAGGTTCCCTCTTCTTCAAGCTCCACCACATCTACTCCACTTGTGGGGACCAGCTCAGCCAGCTGCTCCCCGAGCTACAACCACGGGAATGTAAAAGAAGTACCACGTTTTATCAGTCAACTGTGAGCTTTGTGTTGTTAAAAAAGATTTTGTTTTTGTAATATACACACAATACACATACACGCAAAGTTAATATCTTCCTCCACAAACATCATTAAAATGCCAAAAGAGGGAATCTTCTAGAAAAATCATGTCCCTCCAGTAGATTTCCACACACTTGGAGAATTAATGACAAGGAGCAGTGAAGCTGCTCTAGCATTATGTGGTGACCCAAAGCTGTACTGAGACACTTTATGTTGGTTTTTCTTTTAATTTGTCACCCGCCTGTAGACTTGTGCAGCTTTTTACTAGCAAAGGCACAAATATACATTCTAAGAAGGGAAAACACTCACCCATCTGTTGAAGGCATCAAGGACCTCTTTCTCTCCAGCACAGAAACTTTCCACTAAACCCTCGCTGGATGCTAAACAACATAGAAAGAAAAGGGAAAAAAGGAACACAGGAATACTAGCTGTAGCTGTCATTTTTTTTGTTACAGCGTTGGCAGTCAGTGGGGGATGGAGTTTGCTCAATAATGCTAATATATGTAATAGACAAGGATCCTACTGACTCCACAAAATATTATACATTTGCTTTTATAGTGTTATCTGAAAATTTACATAACATGCATCATAAAAAAAACTAAGATCCGCAGCGGCTGTACATTACTATCATCATTTTATATTAAAATGTGTGCAGTTATATTTGTACAGTCCGGAGTGTGAGACCCTTACCAGCACTCATTTCTTGGGAAAACTTGAACAGCACCACAGGAGACTTTAGTTCATCCTCCACCTTTTGGACACACAAAGACACAGATCAGGAATTGGAGGTATTTATTATCCTGCTCAGCACGTGATCTGATAACATGCAAAACAATTCAAATCAGTTTGAAAGGGTGCAATGCAAACATGTATTTCAGAGTTTGCTGTTAGTCCATGCCTCCTGAAGCAACTGTATGTTATGTCAAGGAATTCACATACAGCTCTTGTTTGAGTTATCAAACTGCTCTGTATGGTGGTGGTGCCCTGAGTCTTTGCCTCACCAGTGGTATGGAGCAGCCCAATCCAAAGCTACAGTTTAGATTGAAGATTTGGTTGGACGGATTAAGTGGCTGTCACACCAGGTTGATTAATACTGAAATATATTTTCTAGTGCAAACCAATCAATACATGGCATTGGGCATTTCAATCACTCCATTACCACTGTCAAATATTTCAAAAGCAAGCCTAAGTACCATGCAGCCAGGTTGTTGATGCCAGCAGCACCTGGGCACACCTGTGTCTTTGAGCATATCATCCATGGATGGCGTCTTCAGTTTAGAATTACCTCAATATTAGTTGTAAATTGAGCTATGCTGATTAGCAAGAATTAAATTCAGCAAAACATCTCATCTCAGTGAAGTTACATGTGGTACATTTAATTTTCTGAACCACTAAGACAGGAAATTAAAAAAAAAAACCTCTAATAAGGCCCATCAACAGTGACATCCAGGTGAGGGTTTAAGGCAAGCATCATGCCTGGATGGGGCTGACAGTGAGGCTACTGTTTCCAGGATGTTGGTGTGAGGGTCATGAATAATTTACAAGCATGTGTAGTGCTGTGAAGTTAGAAAACAAACCAAAAAATATATATATAATATGCTCTATATGTAGGAGAAAATTGTATTTTATCCTCAATATGCTTTGAATAAAGCTACGGTCAGATCAGAAACAGCATATGAAAAGGCCTTTCTTATGGCAAAATTGTCCATCTATTTTTGTAATTTTCCAAAATAAACCAGGTGTTGGAGGTGTGAAAGGGAACAAGGTTAGAACCTCTCTCTGATGCTTTTTTGTTCTTTTCAAAAACCAACCAAACAAAAAAACTTCCATGAAATACAGTTGAGTGCAAAACCACGAATGCCTAAAAGAAGACTTGAAAAAAATGTGCAGCATCGACTGTCTGATCACATCTCACCCCTCTGTTTAGCTTCACCATTTAGTGTGGCCACTTGAAAAAGACATACTTTACCTTTGCATGAATACTTCGGACACTGTTAATTTCAAGCATACTAAGACCTTAAGGGTTTCAAGGTGGACAGTGCAAAAATGTATGGACAGTAGTCGAAAAAAATAAAAATGAACGAGAAATATAAACGACTACTGTTGATATTGTGCAAATACTTCCATTGGTGGAAATTCAGATATTGCACAGATTCCTCTGCTATTGCACAGGATTATTTCATATAGGTAAATCCTAACCTTGCACAGAATTATATTGCACAGATTCTTTTGTGAGTAAGAAATACTGATATTATCCACGTTTTTGTACATGTACAAAAAAAGTTCCATTGTACAGAGGCTTCTTATAGGTATAAAATATTCATGGCACACAGGTTTCAATGTCTTGACGTTGCACCAGAGTGTGTGGTCTACTGGGAGCTGGCTGTAAAGTCTGACAGCTGCAGGAAGGAAGGATCTGTGGTATCTCTACTTTACACACTGCAGGTGAAGCTGCACTCAAAGGGCAGCCCAGTGTTGTCAGATACCCCTTTTCCACCAGGAAGAACCAGGTGATGGTTCATTGCTGGTGCTAGTGCCAGTGCTTAGTTGGTTCAAGTCTCGCACCTCCTAAGAACCTGTTTGCTTTTTCATTGGCAAGGAGCTGCGCCACTACGTCGCCCTAAAATGTCAAAACATCACGACATACGTAGCTGTTGACTGAACAGCACTCGGCTCCAGAATAACTTTTTCACTGGTGTGACCAACTTTCTCATTTGGTCGCACTTTCCATCTTGTCACAGGCAAAACATATGACTTGCTGAATATTTTCCTATCGATAGACACTACAATTTATCGACATTTCCGGAACAACCCAAATTGCAAGTTACACTAGCTGCTGTTGGTGGTTGCGCTGCTCAGACTGTTGTGCGACCAAAAACGACTTTAAAAAGAGTAAACTAGGGCGTTTTAATGTCTGATTTGTCCAAGATGAAGCTGAGTGATTTTTTCTTGTGCAGTCTTTTCTACGAGCGGAAAAAACAGCACACGTAGGTGCTCTTTGTTTTCACGAGAAGACTGCATTTCAAAGAGTAAACACCGCAGTACACCGAAGTTATAAAAATACTGTTTTCCAACCCTGTGGTGCTGCTGGTGGGACACATCTGTACCAGATTTCAGCGCGCAACAGTTTGTGCAAAACCTCCTTGTGTCCTGGGACTCATTCCAATATAACGGCGATTGAACAAGGGATGTCCTGGCGAACAACGACACAAATCACTGCTTGTGTGGCCCATTCTGTGTTTCCACCGGTCTCATTGGTCACGATAACCCCGCCCCCAGCTTCAGATGTACTCGGTTCTTAGTTCTGGCCCAGCAAAGAGTTGGTGCTTAGGTGGTGGAAACACAAAGAACTGGTGCTAAGTCAACTAGCACTGGAACAAGCTCGGTGGAAAAGGGGTAAGAGTGTTCTGTAGGAAGTGGGATGTGTTGTCCAACAGCTTAACCAGCATCCCATTTGCCAACTCTTTGTCTCCCACAAACTGGGGGCAGGGTCTTTGTGGCTGGAGATGGTTTTTAGGCCTCTATAGAACCCACTGACACTGTTCAACTGCTCCTTCATCTTCATCCTGTAGCTGTTCTTCCTCTCCCTTATCCGCCATCTCAGCTCCATCTTTTCTGCCTTCAGCTCCTCCATGTTTCCCGACATAAATCTCCTCAATTTTCTTTAAGTTGGGCCTTTATGTCAGGAGTAATCCAGGTTTGGACATCGCCCAAACAGTGGTAGTCCCTCTGTTGCCGGGTCAGCGATGCTAACTCATGTCTCTCGTTAGTCGTAAGAACAAAACGTCTCCATCCAACCTCACCATCCAACAATAAAGACTGTTTCAGCAGTTCATCTAAGGAAACGACGACAACCTCCAGTAGCAAACTACTGCACTGAAAATGCAACTGAAACTAAAGTTTTTCCGAGAATTTAGATCATGCAGTGAGGCAGCTCTGCTTGTTTTTTGCGGTGGATTATCCAGATTAATGACAGTGCTTGTCTTCCTGCATGCAAATGTTCCACCACAACAACTTCCTTCGCCACACTAAAGGAACACCAAGCCGCAATATTTGCTTAGCATCGCCCATAATGACTGTGATTGGTTTTAACAAATACGAACAAGCCAGAGCGTGTTTTCCTCTAAGGCGGAATGAGAGTGAGGTGCAGCCATACCACTATGTTCTACACAATGGGCTGGCAAAGTGAACAGGGCATTTCTTTGCCAACAGTTCTTTAGACAAAATTGTGAATGGATGTCCAACAGCCCTGTACTTCAGGGCAGTACCACAGGACATGATTTAACACACCCTCATCACGGGTACTTCTAGCACCCAGAATTATATTGAAGCTTAACCCAGTATAGCCTAAAGGCCGCCCAATACACTTCCTTGATGATAACAACTGATTTAACCTGGTGTAACCATCACATGCCATGCTCTTTGTTTTGCATGGGATGCTTACTCATTCTTTAATTGCAAACCTCTTGGCTATACACTTGTAATTCCTCATCAGTCAGAATGTCCCAATAATCAATAAATTACAATAAAATTCTAGCCTAGTGGTCTAATAGTTGTATTTTCTTGTTAAAATAAAGGAAACCATTGGATTCAACTGCACATTGCATATTCATTAATTATTCATGACCCTTGTATTTCGTCCAAAAGGCAACAAAACAGTTTGAGTGTGGAGAGGCATTCCCAGAAGTACCTCAAAGAACATGCCTGAGTGGTCCACATCCTAAACAATTAGGAAGAAGTGAACAGTCACAGTTCATCAGCCAATGGAGACCCAAATACCGCTGAGCTGAGGGTATGTGGCAGGTGAAGGAAAATGTTTAGGAGTGACAGGAAGAGAGAAAAAGGAAAAAAAAAAGAAAAAAAAAAAGGGGAGGGCAGATTGAAAGGGGTCGTGAGGGAGACGGGAAAAGGCTTGGTCCCACCTACAATAGAGAGCATGAGAGAGCCCAGAACGTCCCGCAGTGAAGCCCCGGAGATGGGCGGGATCGGAGACACCGCGCCCTGGAACCAAGGCAACCCACACTGACTTTAACTACAAAAAATAAACCTCATACATAGACTGTAACTAAAGAAAAGAACTCATACAAACTGCTGCATGTCCCTCCTTCTTTTACCAGTGAGTCTAAATACCAGTATGTCATGATTCACATCCCCCAACACACTGATTGCTCACTGCCTCTGGATTACAGTAGTGTTGAAGCACAGTGCTACTAATCCAGGCACCCAATTTCCTTTGTGTTATATCTCAGTGACTGCATGAGTTTGCCTTTCGTAAATACCAGTGAACAAGCCTTTAAGCGCAGTCTGTTCCCCTGATACTGCTTAAGTATTCGTACAACTGTGGTGTTTTCAAAGCCTCGACGATCTCAAACACGTCCTACAAAAACAAGTGGGTTCTGCCTTTGAATCTATGTGAGTCATTTTTACCATCTCTGCATGTTACTTAGCAATACATGGAGAGACTCTGATCCATCGTAACATATAAACACAGGAGAATATCTCACCAACATTTCTATGCCAACCTATGTGTTTCACTTTCACATGAGCTGAAACCTTATATAAAATAAACAAATGCTTATCTATGAGCCAAGACGCTCCAATATCGTATAAATTCCTATATGAAGGGAGTAATGTCAAGTTTTTCACATATGCTGCTCAGGCTTGAGTGTTTAGGAAAAGCTGAAACAGACAAAAGGCCTCCAGTTTCATGGTGGTGTTGTGGGACTGAAAATGAAACGCTATAAAGGTTTATCTGTCCAATTTCAGTTTATCACTGATAATACATGAGTGAGCTACAACATCCTGGCTGCACATTTCCGTAAATGGCATATTTAAAGGTGGTGATGTTCTATAGTTTTGTCATTATCAAACGTTTTCATGAAAACTAGTGATGAACGTATTTTCACTTCTGACGCCTGATATATCTTATTCCTCTGGGGCTAAGATCTCCATCCGTTGCACCACAAACTATGAAAACACACCAAAGAGCCACACTGGTGCACTGTGGTTTCACACGTACACAGTAGCTCAGATTAAGCCAATCCTACACAAAGACAGCATCTACCAATCAATCTGCTGCCACAAATACTGAAGCACCAAATGTGGATCAATCTGCTGCTGGAAATAGTCCCTAACACTATTTGTTTGGGTAAAAGGATTTGATAAAAACTATAGTGACAAGCTGCTTCTGGAAATAAATGAGCCTTTATTGAAAGTGAAAGTATATATATATATTTAACAGGCATTTTTAAAAAGATTTACACCCTTGGATTGAGCCAGTGGGATTGAAGTTGAGAGCCACAAAAAGAACGGAAGCCATTAAACATTAAGGGACGGACCAACATATTAATGTTTTTTTTTTTAGTGACACTTACAACAATGTAATGATGCCACAAATAGCTTCATGTTGTCCAGAAAAAAGCAGCAGCACTAGTTCGTTTTGTTAACTACGTCCCTTTCTGCATAAAACTCCTTCAATATCTGTGTTGGAAGACCATATCGGGGCTCCATGACTTCAAAATGAGTCTATCATGCATCTTTTTATGTATAATTTATTGTCTAATTATCCAACTTATCGTATCATATATTAATGTTTCTCATTCTCATGTGATGTCTCCATAGCATCTGAGCGGCTGTTGACACCACCAGCATTACGGGCCTTTACCATCCCAAGTACCACCATGAAGCTGTAGACCAGAGTCATGACACATACAGTTTTTACTAAGGTGCAAAGGCACATGTGAAAAGCATGAGTGCATGCTAAAATGTCTGAGCAGACACCGTTTCTTGTGGTAGACATTGTGCTATTACTAATTGCAGAGCATTAAGAGAGCACCTACCGATGTTTTGATAGACGTCACGGATTTCAGCTTCTGGAGGAGTTGTTGGCTCTGGAAGGGAGACATGAAGGTCATTTCAAAGGTAAACACTTATGGAACAAATATCACTTCTAAAAGCAATTTACATGTTTAAAAAAAAGGTTTAAAATCCTGTGTGTGTATGAATTTAGCATGAAGACTTGAGGTAGGGCTGGCCCAGGCTCCACTTATTGCAAACAAAACATCATTATGACCAGTTCATTAATTGGCACATTGTCTGTCAGTTAGTTAGGTATTTGTTTGATCTGTGCATAAATAAAATGGTAAAATTTGAAGTTTTAAGGGGGAGTTGTTCAATCTATTGACCTGCCCAGGGTGTACCCGATGTTTGCCCTAAATCAGGTGGGACAGTCTGGGACAGATGATGCAGTGATGGATGGATGGATGGATGGATGGATGGATGGATGGATGGATGGATGGATGGATGGATGGATGGATGGATGGATGGATGGATGGATGGATGTTGACTCTATTTGTTGACCATTGACCATGTAGTGCTGGTTACCAGATCTGGCTGGTGATCACAGGTTTGGTTCTGTTGATTTTTGATTAGAAAATCTGTCTTAATGGCCCAATGGACCACATTTTTGTCAGCTAGCTAGAATGAGGCCCAGGGCTACAAACTCTAGTAGCGTCAGATTGTTGGCAGTCGTAGTATCAAAATTTTAAATCACTACCAATTATTCTACATTAGCTCCCACTTTATCCATCCAGAAGCAATTTTGTCATAGTGGTTCAGACAGAAGACAGAAGGCCTTTGTATGAAGGTTATGCTGCTATTCTGCTACTACACTCTCATATAAATAGTGGAGCTATTTCGAGCAATTTATAACTTATCCATATTAAGTGCATTATAATGTAATTATTTGTTTGCAAATGTTGCGACAGTGCAGACTGACAGCACCTACAGCAAATGTTTGTATGAGGAAAGACTGCACAAAGAGATTCTCGGTCATCCACCTCTATATAATCCCCCCTTTAAAGAGTTTTATTGTAAGTAGTCACTGCTGGACTTCGGAGGAGCTTTGTTTGTAAAAGCTTACATTAACTGAGACCAAACACAGTACAAAGTCCTCGTTTCTCCGTTTCTCATTTCACTGCTTGGTACACATCAGGAACAATCACTGATACGGTGCTACAGCCCCCATCTGTAACCAGTGTGTTTTACTGTGGTAGATAGGAGGGGATATGCAGCCGCCCGTGTAGCAGAACAGCACTGCAATATGAACAGAGTCTGCTTATCAGAAAGCACGAATTGGCCTCAACACTGTGACCTGCAGATGCTTTGATGAGGTAAGTTACTGATATTGTGCATGCTCCTATGGTGTCGTCATGGCTTAGCGGGTTACTTTGTGGAACTGAGCCATCAAAGAAGTTAGTTTCACCTGTGCTTTTCATGCTATGACCATTGAAAAAGGCTGCTTTCAAGAAGGTCTGTTAAGATGTTGTAACAAAAATGAAAATTGACAGTTAAAAGTGATGCTCACCAGAGCTGTGGCATGTCTGAACTTCTCAACAACTCCACTGTGACCGAGGTACTGCAGGGAGAGCCAGAGAGGCAGCGCTCGCAGCTTCTCCACAGGCTGGCTGGGGGTTAAACCTGCTGCCAGAGACTGAAAGACAAAAACACAGAGACACAGAGGAGTGAGCCAGATAGAAGAGTCACAAGTCAGGAGAGAGTAACTGAAAACATGGCACAAAAGCTAACAAAACATGCACTTCATTTTGTGTGATAATGAGAAAGATATGCGCTAACCAGAGCTGGGTCTTCATGTCTGTAGAGGGTGACGGCGGTTACAGCCGGAAGTCCCAACCACTGGCCTGGTGTCAGCGTCATACTGTCACTTTTGGTGGCAGCCTGGAGGAGACAGACAGAAACATGGTGTGTAACACAAAACGGAAATTTAATTCAAATCAAAAGATGTTTGTCACATATGGTTAACTTCCTGTGTCCAGTAGTATCACTAAGACTAACTCAATATTACTGTAGGGTGGATTGCACTGCCATTATTTGCACCACTGTACATATTTTTTTTTCTGCTAGATGAGTATATTCTTGTATATATTTATCTTATTTTTTTCTTTCTATGGTTATTTTACTTTATTGTTATTCTTATCCTTGCACATTCCTAGGGCGACACCAACAGCCGGAACCAAATTCCTTGTATGTTGTGTACGTACTTGGCCATTAAAGTTGATGCTGATTCTGATTCTGATTCTGATATGACTTTGACTATTGTCAAACGTGAAGTTTGGGGCAGATTGCAATGCACATTTGTGTGGATGATAGCATTTTAACCTGAGATTACCATGATAGCAGAAGTGACCTGACCCAGCGCCAGGGTTGCCAGGTTGACTCTGTAGAGACAAAGCAGAACATCGTAATAACATTAATTAAAATAGTCACAATATAACATCACCGTTCTTATTTGCATTTATAGAATTTTCTAATAAAACCAGCACAGTGATAAAAAGTACAAAATTTTGATGAGGCAATGCTGTAAATAAAGTGCATTTTAGTTTAACTGATAAATCGGACAGTTTGGGAAAATGTGCTTTTCGACTTTCTTGCCAAGATGGTGATAAACTGCACCGATATCAGTATCAGGTAGATGCCATACTAACGTACCTGTATGTCACCAACACAAACCATTGTTTTAGACCTAGCATTCCTCCCCAGCACCTGACATCACCCTGCCACACTGCAAAAACTGCTCAGGACCAGCTTGAGGAGCAGGACAAAGAGCTCAAGGCGTTTGCTTGGCCTCCAAACTCCCCAGATCCCAATCTAATCAAGTATCAATGCACCACAACAACAAGACTCCAGGGTCAGACATCACAGAACAACCCCAAAGTTCCTGTGTCGATGACCCAACAGGTCAGAGGTGTTTTGGTGGTAGTGGCGAGGCCTAAACAGTAGCGAGTTGAAATGTTATGGCTCATAAACATATATAAAGATAAGTGACAACAACAAAAGTAATGTAGACTCCAAGCTCTGCTCTAGCTTAAGACTCAACACAATGCACAGTTCAAGGAGATGCCAAACGCTAGCAGTGGGAAACAGCAACAACAAACTTTGTAGCCGACACTGGAAAAGCAGAGAAAATGTTCAGAGACAACTAGCAGGCAGTAAACACAACAGCAGCTCCTATGACATTGGTTTGGATGACTACTTTGTCAGCTGTTGACCAGGATTTTGTCACCTTCTCAGCATGTTGGAGCTTAAGTACAAGTTGTATAACTGTCACCACATAACAAAAGCTGTGCCGCTGAAGGTGCATGACTTGACATGAAAAACCACATCACTACACCACGAGCAAAGCAGTTTCGGGGCTCACATGCTTGCTAAAACAGGTGCAAACTTCAAAGTCACTGCATGTTTGCTTGGTCTAAATAAAATCCATATATTGTACCAAACTGCTTCCTCTCTTTTTGCTCAACACACAGACACGAGGTCATCTCACTCTCAAGCAAACAAGCGTATTTCACAAATTGTTGGACTTTTTCTTCCAGACCATCTACGATATAGCGTGACAGAGGTGACCCACCCCTCCACGTGAAGCCACAAGCTGTACTGATCACACAGGTCCCTTAGACGACCCAGCTTGTCTGTATGGCCTGCTCCAGGGGTACCTGAGGAAACAAACACATAATTACCTCATTGAAGTCTGCATGAACCAATTTAAACTGCAAAAACAATCCTCATGAGCTCCTGTAATACCGCATGCACACATTGTGCAAAGTGCAACATTTGAACTCCTTCACCTGCATTGGCAATCAACAGCAAAGGAAGCTTCCCAGCGTCTCGGTCCTCTTTGATGAGTTTGTCCAACAGGGCAACATCCTGAAAGTGACAAACAGGGTCTGGGTCAAAATCGTTTTTCGTTTGAACTGCCTGATAGCTGTGTAGTTTTATAGGTGGTGTCTCACCATTTGGTGTTGGGATCCAAAGACAGTGTTACATGGCACCGTGCACAAACTGGAGAGAGGCAGGCCAAGCTAATGACACAAAGACTGGCATGAAAATTGCTTTCTGTTACGTATGCAACACTATGAAACATGAGAAACTCTCTGTGGATGTGATATTCAACACATTATACATAAGACTAGTAGTGCTACCAAGAAGGACACTGTGTAAATATCTTGATAAAATTTAAGTAATTCCTTCCAGGTAAACCAGGAGTCTTCAATGGCAGCTCTAATTCTAAAATCAAAGTAGTAGTAGTGGTAGTACCTGGCGAATGTTTCTACAAAAAGGTATATCCATCAAATTTTCACCCATAGAGGCTTCAATCTTTGTGATTTATGTGGATTTAAGGTTGAGCATTTCAATTTCCTTACCTGACTGCACAGGTGCTGTCCCAGACCAGGCCTGCAGGAGGCGCTCTGGTAGATGACTGGCTGTTTGGAGCTTAGGACTGCATAGCCCTCCGAGGCATATTCTTGGTAGCGGGCGTTGATGACCAGCCGACACACTTTCACAAGGCCGTCCCTGTCGTCCTCATGAAAGCAGGCGGAACCGTTCTCATACCTGAGGAACGGAGAGATGATCGGCATCGAAAGACAAAGTAATGTTTAACACTATTCATACAGCATCCGATCACAGGGGTGGTTGTTGTTGGAGCGCTATGTGAATTTATCTTGTGTCAGTGTACAACATGTCAGTATCATTAAATTCCTTATCAAGCTTTGCAAACCTCTTTAACAAAATGTCGTCTAAAGAAAAGTTTGCATACACTTGCAAAGACCATGTACAGTTGAAACCAGAAGATCAAATATGCTGTGTAAAAAGACATACACCTTTTTTTTCCCCACTATCTGACATTAAATCAGACTAAACTTTTCCTGTTTTAGGTCAGTTAGGATTATCAAAATTATTTCTATTTGCTAAATGCCAGAATAAAGAGACAGAATTTTTTAGATACATTTTTATTACTATCTACTTATCTACCCACCGATCTTTAGGGGAAGCATATGTCAAGTTGAGAAATAAATGTATCATTACGTATCATCTACTCCAGTAAACGTACCCTAGTGGGTCCTCCTAAAGAACTAGATTTTCAGATTTTCTGATAGGAAGGTCAGATCACCATTTCTCATGTGTTTAAATAATCTTATATTGTTTTTAAACCTACAGTACATACACCTTTAAAAGGCTGCTTTGCCTCTTTGTCATGAATAATTGATGCATAATCTTGATAGCAAGCACCTCTGCTCCTGCAAATGCCGTTCACACTGAGCTGATGATGACACCAACACATAAAACCAGTGATTTCCACAAATGCACAGCTGCACTGCAGGGTTTTACCTGAAGAGCCTGCACAGCCACATCGTGGTGTCAGACAGTATCCGAGTGGTCAGCTTCCGCAGTCGCTCTCTGTCCAGCACCGAGATGTAGGCGGCCAGGCTGTGACCCAGCAAGGCCATGTGACCCTGTTCACCTACGTTCTGCAACCTACTGGAGGCACCACACAACAGCGTTGTCATGTACATACTGAGGACTGTCTGTTCCCTCCTTTCTGTACTCATTCATGTCATATCTCTAGATCAGATTGCAACATAATTAAGGAACTATGCGTAAATTTGACAGTTAACATGATTGAGCTGTTTTCACACAAACATTTCACAATTTAAAGTCCTAATAATATCTTCTTGCTAATAATACATCGCTTGCATCAGATCCCATATAGAAACAAGCTAGAAACTGCAAGCTGTGTTTATATTGAGCAGCGAGGGGACAAGGATGGAAACTAATTACAAAGATTGACAGGAATTAAAACACACTTGATCAACATAAATGTAACGTGGTTAAAAAAAACAAACTGTGTTCAGAAGAGCAAGTTGTTAAAAGACATATTCAGGACGGTGACACATCTTTCCAGTGTTTACTTAGATGTGCAGGGTGGTGTGAAAAATGCAAAGTTTGTAGAGCTTGTAAACATGTAGGAAGTAATATATCTTCATCTGTCAAATAAATATGCAATACAATTGAATTTTTAATTGATTTATGGCACTATAACAGTGTTATAGCGATCAAAAGACATTCTTAAGTTCTCTCTTCTTCTAGCCATGGTTGTGCTGTTTCCATAGAACAGCAGGACTTTATTTTATAGTGAAAAATGAGTAAACAGCAGCAAAAACACAATCAGAAGCCGCTTGGAGTTCAAAGAGCTTAAAAAGAAGTAATCATACGCTCCGATCAAACAAACAGCAATTTGCTTCTATCACTGTTTTCACTGATTAGCTGTACTCACTGTAGTGTGGGCTTCTCGCTGTCCTCGTCGTCTTCGTTAATAAGGTTGTGAACAAGGTGCAGCAAAGTGGAAACATCCTGACCGCTGAACAAAAAAAAACAAAACACAAGAACACATAACAGGCTTCAGCACCTCAGCTTTTGCAAAACAAATCTCACTTTAAGAATTTCTACAATTCATGCAAATATACTGTGAGTCTCCAATCACTGACACTCTTCTTCTTGCAAAAAACATGTTTCTGTGAGCGACCAGATTGTGTTCATTGAGCGTCACACTGATGAGAGAGCCAGCTGCTGCCCTGGGAACTCTGATCTGTTCCCCTAAATGTTGAGGGGATCCAGTGGTTGAACAAGTACTCAGATATTTCATGTAAGTACTAAAAGTTCTGGGATGTGAATTGTTTCCTGTGTATTTAAAAAAAACATAATAATGCACCATCTTTCCCAAAAAGTGAGATAAAAGTATAAAATTATTGTGATTTAAACCAATCAAGGGCGTTGTGGGCGGGGCTAAGCGATGGTGTTTCTTCAAAATACTGACGAGGGAATTGTTGTGGTGGATGATGTGCATTCAGGAAGAGGAGCACTGTGATTAAAACAGATAATCTACCAAAAAAAGAAAAAAAAAGCAGAGCTGCCTGATCTAAATTCTCTGCAAAAGTTTCAGTCTCATTTTCAGGGCAACCTGGAGTTTGTTGTTGTTGTTGCTGTTTCCTTTGCAACACACAAATAGTGGAAGGAGGGGAGAATGCTGACTGGATTATCAGCCAACATCGGGTGAGTCAGACTAGGATTACTATGACCTGGATGATTAAGAATCTAAACCAACAGTGTCGTGCAGTTGTCTTAAGAAAATGTGCTATTACGGTGTTGGTATGTGTCCCCATGTGCTACTGTGGAAATGAAAGGATCTGACGTTTTTGTAGCGAGAGTCAAGATAGTGTGATTAGGTTCATTATGTCTACTTTGATGAGAGGTATAAGGTTAGTTTTTTTATCAGACAATGAGTATTTTTTAGATAGGAGCTGTTTTTAACCTTACTGTCACTTCAGTCTTCCTCAGAAACATCACTGACGCAAAGATCATTGGATCAGAGAGCAACAAATTTGAACATTGGATCAAGGAGGCGAGCCAAAGACACCATGAACCGTGATGAGGGGGCATTCATGCTATCCCACACATGGGATGCTCTCCTGCAGAGACCACCGGGTGGCAGGAGGCGTGGCCTGTCGGGCAAATCTGACAGATTGCCAGGCGGGTCACGCCTCCAGGAAACCACCAGCTGATAAAGACACGTCACCACAGACGTCAGTGACGCTTCTGAGGAAGACAGTTGAAACACGTCAAAGGTAAAAACAGCTTGTATCTAAAAAATACTCATTGTCTGATAAAAAAAAAGAAACCTTAAAGCGAGAGTCAAGATATCTGGGCCACTGTCGCGTTGGTTTTGATCTTTTTTTGTAACTGTTTATTTTACAAAGAACTATTGATGTTAGTTTACTGATGTTAGTTTATATATATCCGTGTGTGTGTGTGTGTGTGTGTGTGTGTGTGTGTGTGTGTGTGTGTGTGTGTCTCTTACTCTCCCTGCAGGGGTCCAGGCATACCGGTACTGATGAAGTGCGGCCTCTTGATTCCCGACTCCACTTCTCTAAACAGATTCACACCACAAACACATGAAGATCAAACCACGCTTCGGTTCAGTACACTGCATCCATGAACCACATCGTTTCTCGACTAGTTTACTTAGTTTGCTCTGTGGTGGTGCTTCCTTATGAAAAGGTCGGATGTTAAGAAGCACTAGCGCTTGAAGAAAAAAGATGAAGAATGGTCAACAATCACATGTCTGAAAGAGACGTCTACGAATACACCCACCTCGCTGAAAGTCACCATCATACTTTGTGTTATTGTTGTCTAATCACTAGAACCTTACCCCTGTCCGTCTCCGAGGACCCTCATGGCTTCATTCAGATTTTTCCCAACTTGAGCCAGTGTGGAGTCGACCATCATCGAGGATGTGTGTGCGCTTGCTGGAAGAGAGTTAAAAAAAAGGTCTGTCATTTTTAAATTCCAAGTGAGCGTGCAGATCAATAAGAAGCAAACAGCACAAGACAAAACGAAGCCATAAACAGACCAAACCAGCAACAGCACAGTCCAACGGTTGCTCTGCTCTTTGTCTAAAATACCCCAAAGGTGTTCAAGTCAGGCAACATTCTTGGTCAGGTCATAGTTGACCTTTCCCCTGTAGAAACTGTTATGATTCTGGCTGTGTGCTTTGGAAGATTATCATTCCTCTTCTGTCAAGTGTCTTTGCAGACTGGGAGTCACCTTGTCAGTTAATGGTTTGGTAGATCTACAGGCATCAATGTCATCTCTCCAACACCTTGTGTACTAGTGCAGTCCCTTATCATCACACTCCCACCTCCGTGCTTCACTGTCAGGACCACACATCTGCTACGTCTAGTCCTGGCCAGCTTGACACAAAACATGCTGGACTCCATCCGAGCTGAACGAATGTGTTTCAGTCTCATCTCATGAGAGAATCTGCTGCCAAGGTGCTTCAGGTTTCTTTACATGTTCGTTAGAAATGTTCTATTTGCAGTTTTGTGCTGAAGCACAAGCATGGTTTTGTCTTCAATACATAAAAGTTAGCATCAGTGCTTCACAGTCTGAGCTGTCACAGAAGCTCAGATTACCACTTACAACCTCTGTGACAAGTCTGAAGCACTTGCTCGTGTGTTTTTGAAGAGCAAGACTGTGCAGGTAGTGCAGTTTATACGGGCTAACAACACTGTGGCTCGTTCTCTACCTCCTGATTACTGCTACAACTGTGTTTCCATTGATTTTTAGTTGGCCACAGATCTTCCTGGATCCTTGTACATTCTTCTGATGTCTAACAAACCTTTTAAAGCCATATATCCAAAATCTATACTGCATCTATGAAAGAACTGAAATGGGGGCTGCAAGGTGGATCAGTGGTTCGCACCGTTGCCTCGGAGCAAGAAGGTTGCCAGTTTGCGTCCCGGTGAGGACACCCGGGATCTTCCTGTGTGGAGTCTCCATGTTCTCCCCGTGCAGCGTGGGTTCTCTCCGGGTTCTCCGGCTTCGTCCCACAGTCCAAAAACATGTTGAGGTTAATTGGTGATTCTAAATTGTCTGTAGGTGTGAATGTGAGTGTGCTTGGTTGTCTGATAGACTCCAGCCCCCCACGACCCTAGTGAGGATTAAGCGGTGTATAGCTAATGGATGGATGAAAAGAACCGAAATGCATGATTGTTTTTTGTGATAAAGACGCATGTTTTAGCAATTCCATCATAGACAGTTAAGAAGTCTTTACTAGTGTATGTAAACTTTTGATCACAGCTGCATGAATAAAAGTTCTGATCACAGATGTAAATGTAAGAAGAACAAGAATGTAAGAAAAAAAAAAAGTTATACTTGTGGTTGGCCATTGGTTGTCTGTAGACTGCTAACTCCTTGTCATGAGTTAAAACATGCAGATTTACTTTCCACCCCATCCCTCCACCCTACTCCTATTCATCTGCCTGATTTAACTCAGCAGGTGTAGTGATGGAAATAAATGATTTTTTTCCTTTTAATTTTTCACACAAATCACCTCAACTCCTCCCTTCCGGTGCCAAATTAAAGCCAAGCATGCGTCGACCGGCTGGAATTTCCGGGATGAGGAGAAAATACAGTCGAGCATTCACATGGGCGCGGACTCTTCATTTGCACATTTGCTGTGTGTTTACTTTGGACGCCTGCCGCACAAAAGGCGTACGACTCACAGTTCGGCAACGCATTGCCTAATGTTTAAAACTGAACTAGTTGAGCTGCTTAATGGTTGTTCTTAAGGCGGGATTAGAGATGTGCCAATATCAGGGCTGGCATTGATATAATACCTGATTACATTAAACCTGGAAATGCATACATGTAGCACAACCTCAGAGGAGAAGTGATGCAATTATTTTAAGGTTTTATAATTTTTAAATATTTGGCATTTAGGTGATAGAGCACAGGGGTGTGTATACTGTATTTTCCAACAACAATACCAACCCTACAATTAAGGGACTTGCTGCTAATAACCTGGTATTACTTTTATTAATTTACTGACTTTATTTTTGATTTTATGTCCGTTTTGACAAGCACGTACAGCCTGCGAGAACTATTAGAATCATGTGAAGTAATGTAGGAGGGAGGTGAAGGAGCAAACATCACCCAGAGCTGGGTTTTAAGCATTGTCTTGTGTCTGCGACTATAATCCAGCAATTATCAGCTGATCATTGTATCCTCTAGCTTAGAGACCAGTAATATATGATGCATCCTGGATTAAATCAAAAGAAGAGACATTTATAAACTTGATTGGGAACTATGTTGAACTTTAGCAAGCAAGTTGACATTGTGACTCATCTGTCCTGCAAACCTTTCTTATTTAAAGGATGAAGGACTAAAGATAAAAATGCTATCATCTGTTCATGTAAATGAATGAGTGCATGGCCTTTCCAAACATATTCAAACGCATTTTTAATATTTTAGGTTATTGGGTTCAGAAAATGGTGACACTGAATTATAATGATGCTCTACAACAAGAAAACACATGCTGTGCACCACAATATGACTACTGCTACTCTATTTTAGAAGAACTCAACACTTCAAAAGTCCATCCATCCATCATCTACACACCGTTTAATCCTCACTAGGGTCATGGGGGGCTGGAGTCTATCTCAGTTGACAACCAAGCACACTCACATTCACACCTACGGACAATTTAGAATCACCAATTAACCTCAACATGTTTTTGGACCTTGTGGGAGGAAGCTGGAGAACCTGGAGAGAACCCACGCTGCACGGGGAGAACATGCAAATTCCACGCAGAAAGATCCCGGGTGTCCTCACCGGGACGCGAACCTTCTTGCTGCGAGGCAACGGTGCTAACCACCGAGCCACCTTGCGGCCCCGCTTCAAAAGTGAATTTTCAAACTGATCTGTGTCAGTATCTCAACATGTTACAATCAGTTAATCAAAAAATGAGAAAAATAAGAAAACTTTCTGTTTGTCATAAATATGAACATTTATGCAAAAGACAAACAACAGCAGTGAGTCACCGCTGTGCAATATCACGTCAATGTGAAATGATTCTAAACTGTATCACCTTACAGTAATGTCATCATCATCAAGGTTCCACTTCCAAACAATCAAACACAAATACTTTAGAAGGACTATGGTACAAAATAAAGGCCCCAAAGTAGGAAGTCAATGCAACAGAAGTGAATCCACCTGTGATCGCTGACACAAAAGTTGGAGACACGGAAACAAACCAGCACACCTGTGACTTTCACAGCTCATTTTATAACTTTACTGTGGTTATAAAATGAGCTGGGAACATCAGAACTTTCTTAAATTTGGTCCTAGGGGCTGCGTCTATTTGCATGTCTGTATCGTATCTCCACATAACAAAGAACTGCTAGAGGAACTGAACAACGCAGCATTTATCCTTCGGTGTTGATAAGCTATTACCTGTGTCATGTAACCAATGAAACAGTGCTGTGCATTGCTTCAGACCAGAGTGCTGACTACAGACAGGGAGGCGACTGCAACAAAGGCCAAAGTGTAATCATCTCGTCCTCGTACGTACAGTTAAAACCAGAAGTTTACATGAACTGTATAAAAAGACATAAAATGTTTTTTTTCTCACAATCTGACATTTAATCAGACTAAACTTTTCCTATTTTAGGTCAGTTCGGATTACCAACATTGTTTCTATTTACTAAATGGCAGAATAATGGGAAAGAGATTTTTTTTTTTACTTTCTTCAAAGTCAGAAGTTTCCATCCACTAAGAAGCCTTCAAACTATTTGGGAAAGCCCAGATGATGATGTCATGGCTTTGGAAGCTTTTGATAGGTTAATTGACACCATTTGAGTTAATTGGAGGCACACCTCAAACACACTGCTTCGTTTTATGACAACATGGAAAATCTAAAGACATCAGCCAAGATATCAGGAAGAGAATTGTGGACCTCCACTAGTCTGGTTCATCCTTGGGTATAATTTCCAGATGCCTGAAGGTTCCACGTTCATCTGTTCAAACAGTTCCACACAAGTATAACCACCATGGGAATGTCCAGCCATCATACTGCTCAGGAAGGAGACGGGTTCTGTGTCCCAGAGATGAAGTGTTTTGGGGTGAAATGTGTGTGTCATCCCCAGAACAAAAGCAAAAGACCTTGTGAAGATGCTGCTGAAGCTGGTCAGAGAGTCATTATCCACAGTGAAACCAGTCCTGTACCGACATGGACTGAAAGGATGCTCAGAGAGGAAGAAGACATTACTCCAAAAGTATCATAAAAACGCCGGATTAAAGTTTGCAAATGCACACAGGGACAAAGACCTTCATTTCTGGAGACATGTCCTGTGGTCTGATGAAACTAAAACTGAACTGTTTGGTCATGATGACCATCGTTACATTTGGAGGAAAAAGGGGGAAGCTTGAAGCGTGAGAACACCATCCCAACTGTGAAGTACAGGGGTGGCAGCATCATGTTGTGGGTGTTTTGCTGCAGGAGGGACTGATGCACTTCACTAAATAGATGGTATCATGAGGAAAGAACATTATGTGGAAATATTGAAGCAACATCTCAAGACATCAGTGAAGTTAAAGCTTGGGCACAAATGGGTCTTCCAAATGAACAATGACCCTAAACATACCACCAGATTAGTTACAAAGTGGCTTAAGGACAACAAAGTCAATGTTTTGGAGTGACCATCACAAAGCTCTGATCTCAATCCTGTAGAAAGTTTGTGGACAGAGCTGAAAAGGTGTGTGGAGCAAGGACGCCAACAAACTTGACTCAGTTCCATCAGTTCTGTTGGAGGAATGGGCCAGAATTCATCAAACTATTGTGAGAAGCTTGTGGAAGGAAAACATTTGACCCAAGTCATACAGTTTAAAGGCAATGCTACCAAATACTAAGGAAATGTATGTAAACTTCTGACTTTGAAGAAAGTAATGAAAAATTCTCTAAAAAATGTTTGCTCTCATTATTCTGGCATTTAGCAAATAGAAATAATTTTAGTAATCTTATGAAAGAATAATCTGTTTATTTTCTGTGAAATAACCAAAACACACAAAAAAAGAGAAAACTGCATTCTCATCTTTTCACTTTTGGTTAAAACAGAAAAGCAAAAATCATCTAGTCATCTTTCCATTGCTGGTTTAAAATGGAAATACAAAAAAGTCAGATGTGTTTTCTAGTTTTTTAAAAATTTGAAACAACACATAAGATCACACCGGATCAAAACTCAAGCTGTATCTTTGGCTGGATTTTCAGTGATAATGAAAACCAGAAAAACTGGAATTGTTATTTTGCTGCTGGTTTAAAAATAGAAAAGCAAAGAAATAGGCCCATTTTGTCATTTTTTAAAGATGGAAAAGTAAAAAAAAAAAAAGACAAAATGGAGGGGTTTGCTTTCTTCTTTTTTTTTCCTGATTTAAACCAGTAAACAAAACAAAACATAACAAGGCCACATTGTTTTGTCTTTTGACATTTGATGGGAAAACAGATAATACTTTGGTATCCAAACCGGTAACGTCAGTATTACTAGCAGTCATGTGAGGTGTCATAGCAGTGATGATATTTGTGTTGCTGACCCTGCTGCAGAGTTATTACTGTAATATTATTATTATTATTATTATTATTATTAAACAGCACCGCATCACATTACATAAACCACAGTTTCATGTTTGCATCATGTACGTGTCTGTCTCCCTCCTCTCTCCTTTACCGGACACACACACATGCAAGCTTCACACCAAAACAGACACACGGAGCTAGCTAACAGCAGTCCCCCACATCTCAGCCACATCTCTCCCACTAACTTACCGTCACTGCTCTCGGCTGACAGCATGACAGGCTCTGCTCTCCGTGACGCAGGGAATTTGTGTGGCGAAGCACCGCCGCGGCGTCTCTTCAGCAGGGTTCCGGCGACCAAAAAAAAAAAAAAAGAAACAGCGTGTTGAAATGTTGACTTTGACACGTATTTGCTGTTCCTGCTCCGTATCCCGCACACTGAGCCGGACAGTTTACTTCCTGGAACCTGCCGCACGTTCCACGCTGGCGGCGCCGACGTCACGCTCCGACGCCGGGACCGGCCAATCAGATCGCAGGTGATGACGACAGCGGATATTTTTAAACATTAATTCATTTTCGGCTCGTTGGAGGTGAACTGCGCCTCTCCTGGGAAGAACAAGGCGGACGGGAGCAAGCGGCAGCATCGGGAGGGAGGAGGTAGAAGGAGACAGTCATGAGTGGAGACTGGAAGATGGACGTGGAAACCGGCAATGACAAGTGAAGGCAACCCGGAAGTGTCAAAAAAAACTGCAGTACCACTACTGCCGCTAGGGGCATGCTCCATAAAGCTCTGACTCCAGTTGGAAACGCAAAATAAGAGGTCATGGAAACATTAATTATCCACAGAGGAAGATATTTTTTGTCAATTTCCCTGAGATATGGTGGTTCATCTGAAAATAATCCAGTGATTAGGTTAATATAAGGCATAAAAGTATGGCTATTTGATTGATTGAATGATTGACAGGTCAGCCATGACACTCAATCACCACTGAACTCCTCCTCGTTTGGATTTACTTGTGAAATTCTAACTATTAGATTGTTGTTAATTATTAGTGGAGTAGCAGCACATTTTCAGTTCAATGTGTTTTTCTTGTGTTCTCATTGGACCAGCAGACCCTGAAAGCCTGTTCAGGAAGTAAATGTTATGTTTTTTTGTTGTTGTTGATGCTGGTTTTAATGAAATTATAATCAAAAGACAAACAATCAAACAAAAAAATGTATTGCTGAAATTTTATTGGTGCACTTCATTTTCGATTCTGGAAAAGCTACTTTTGCAGTTTCCACGGAGAATGTGAATGATGTGAGTGAACGTGTGTGAACATTAGCCTAATAATTAGAAAAAACATAAAGTATTGTTGAATAAGTAATGATCTGCTATTGTACACTTGCTGCTACCGTTCGGTGACTGAAAATGTTTGGAAACTAGGTAGCAAAAGAGCAAAGAGGCCAAAAGAGAAATGGATAAATGGTCGTAATATTCCACATTCTGCCTCTACATATTAGTATGAATACACACTCGATCAAAGTGACATAAACACTGCTTGTAGGGGAAAATGTAGTAACAATATTGACTTTTGTATTCTTTTTTTAATAATGTTCAGTCACATTCAGTTTGAACTGAAATCAAATGACAAATGTTGTTGATGACATTTTAGTGGAACTTTGTGATAGACTGTATATAAAAGATGGATATAATGTCCAGGTCTATAAAGTAAAAGTGCGTTGTACCTGCATACTTTCCAATGGCCAGGAGGGGGCGAAACCTCTGGCTGCAAATAGAAGTCTGATTGTATAGAAGTCTATAAGAAAATTACTCTACTTCACACTTGATCTGTTACCTCAGTAAACATTTTCCTAATGAATTCACAGTCTCACTGGGCTAATTCAAGTCTACTTCAATAAAGTATGATGTATATGTCGTAAATTCTGGTCACATTTGGAGGAAAATTGACGAGAAAGCAGGGTCATTTTAGGACGGGGCTCTCTTGTAATTGACGTGTTGCTACTGTTAGTTATAGCGTCGTCTCCAGTGAGATTGCATCCTGTGCTTTTGCTTCAAAAGACCAAGATGGTAAAGGCCAAATTCCAGATTTGAGGCTTTACATCTTTGATACCCAGTCCATGAGCTCTGTTGAACTAGAACCCCCTTGAGGAGTTGGAGGAGGCTAAACCATGATGGTAATCATCAGATGGACACAAACACAGCTTTAAATAGATGCTAATGTTGCTCTTCTGAATGTGTAAATGACTATTTATTTGTTGACAGGTTCACTATAACAAATATAGATGATAGAATGTCAGTTTTCAGCTTGCTCCACTGCCCTCAAGTGGTCAAAATAAATAGGGGCGGCTCTAAAGATGTGCAAAAACCCCTTTCTGTAAAAATCGAAACAGTCATGTGCAGTTGACACTCCATTTCCATGTCACAATAAAGCCCTCTTCATTGTACAGTGTCACAGATTTAATATAATCACTGAGACATGTAAAGTTCCCATACACATTCAAATGACACGGATGATTTATCAAAACTAGAAAGCTCTTTATGTTGCATTTGTTATCAAACTTACACTGCAGCAGTTCTGTCATTTTGGGTAAAAAAAGCTCATAAAAGAAAAGACAAAGCAGTCCTCACACACTGGCGCTAGCTGGCTACACTTTCACAAAATGCTTCGAAACATGCACTCATGCTTTAAAAATATTGTATTTGATCCTTGCAAGGCCCCAGTGGCAACAAGCATTCATCATTTCAAGTACGCTTGCAAGGGAGGAAAACTGAATAGTTCTTTTTTTAAATATAGGCATTCATAAGCATAATAATATAGATAATATACAGTATGTCTATGCCTACTATGCAGATTTTGACATTCATTGGAGTGTAACACCACTATCTTCATACTTTACATGCAGCTGCATCAGAACTGCAGCGATGAACTATTATAGAAAGTTTTTGTGCGGCTCAAATTGAAGATAAACCTTAATATGATTTTAAAAAAATAAAAATAAAATCATGCACAGATACACATTCCATCACTCCTGAAATTGCAGTTAATTCCTCCCTCATATTCTGACACTTGCGGTTAAGCTGTTTTGGCTGAAGTCCAGTGCTGGGAACAAGGTATAAAACAAGCAATCATCAGCGTCTACACACAGAAATGCTCACAGAACACACAGGCTTCTCATTTCATGGTGGTAAACATGTGGAGGCAGCTAGTATCACAGCAGCCACATGTTTAATCCTGTTTTTTGTTTTTTTTCAACACACTGACGATGCTGATCCTGAAGTAGGTGTTACCGCACCCACTATCTATGTTTTTAGCAGCTCTACCTATTCTTAATATTTTAGTATGATACCTTTTTTTATTGTAAAATCACTCTTACAACTTGTCATTCTGTTCCATCTGTTGTTCCTGCACATAAAGATTATTGACAGCTGACTGTCTTATAACATGTTAAAGTTTTCTGAAACTCTCAACAGGAGAAAGTCTGGACAGACCACATGGACTGACAGTCAGGCTGATAACATTAGATGAAATTATTCTCGTGGATTAATCGGAGCAGCTGGACTTGCTTGAGTTCCTTGAAGACGTTCCACCTCTCATCCAAGAGGCTTCATCAGTTCGGATGAGAGGCGAAATGTCTTCAAGGAACTCAAACAAGTCCAGTTGCTACGACTGATCCACGAGAATAACCACAACCTGGATGACTGAGAATCTTCTCAGACATTAGATGAAATTATTTTAAACTCACCGCTGAATTTCTTCAGCAGAACATATGTGACAATATGACCTGATAAATGACAACTATGGGATCGTAGTTTGACCCAAACAAAGGCTCAAGGTCCTCCTAGGGACTGAAAAATGAACAAGAGAAGAAGGGAAGATTGAATCTCATATGTAAGTTCATAAAACCCAAATATTTTCAAAGCAGTATACTGACCCCAATGACCTCTTGAAAACTTTTGCACATCCCCTTACAAGCTTTTTCCTTTTTTTTTTTAATCACAGCTAAAAACCTGTTACATTTTGTCAGTAGATGGCGCTACACATTGATGGGCAGATAAAATTCTGTAAATTAGCTTCCTGACATATGAAGCTTTTCGAAAGACAATCCATATTTTTAATTAGCTGCATCTTTTCAGTCACTATGAGCCGTTTCCTACTGCAGAAACTTTCAGGACTTAGTGCATGGTCCGACCACGAGAACCAGCCCTGTAGAACCTCTTTCGGGGTCGTTTCCAAGGAAGAAAAAAAAAAAAGAAGTACCCTCCCCAGGGTGGCCCTGAAAAGCTGCTGTGCAGGTCTTGAAGCTGATTGGTTACCTTTGGAAAAGACAAACACTGATTGGAGAGGACAAGTGTCATTTTTCTGCCTTCTCCATGTCCTCTGCTTTCTAACGTCACCATCTTTAGTATACCGTTACCATGTAGACTAACACAACAGACTTCCATTATTCTATGTCCTATCTGCTCATAGAACTGAGCATCCATTCACTACTAGTTGTCATTGTTTTGGTGCACGCAGAAGTAATGCTGCGTTCAAAGCTGTCGGATCCTTCAATGGAAACAGCACAGCCGAAAGTGCTGATTATGGGGCCGTTCCTGTAAACATTCATCCACCTCGTGCCTGTTCCACGTTTCAGCCGCCTCATGTAACGAGAGGCCACTTTCACCTCATATCATGATAAAGTATTTGCATCCCACATCCAGCTCCATTTAACTATTTGGACGGAAACATTTTATGAATCAAGGAGTGCCTCCTCAACCTTCAACACCAGTGTCTTCTTTACCTCTCAGACTGATTCCACTTCTCAGTGCTTTTTTTAAATCATGGTTTGCAACGAGACACTGCGGCGTAGATAGAGGTAGCAATGAGCTGGACTCTCAGACCAAACACGGCAAATTTTCTGTCGCACATTAAAAAGATTGTCTAGAATAGTCCACTGAGTAGATGCAGTAGATGCTCTTGTTTTGGGGGAAACCACCATAAACGCAATGTCACAACGTATATGTGTATGGACTCTGGCATTAGGAAGCATTCCCATCGATTGCTGGTTTTGTGCAGCTGGTTTCACTCCTGTTGAGCTGAAAACATATATTGTAATATTGTTCTAAGCATGTTATGTTATGTTCAACTGCAATGACCATGTGAAACAAGGATTGTGCAAAATACCTGAGGCCATATATTGGAAATATATTATCTCACCACAACAAGGATTTGCAAGCGACTGACTTGCACGTTTAAGGGCTTCTCATAAAGCAACTCAGCCATTTCTTTGTACTGTTTGGGATTTGGTTTCTGTAGCTCAGGACCTCTCTCTGTTATTCAAACTAGAGGAAATTAATTGCAATATTTTTAACCTGCAATTACTAAGGTAAGCTTCCTAATACAGTAAACAGCGCTTATTGGCACAGGCTAGAAAAATCACTTTGATGCCGCCGCCTGTCTACGCAGTTACGCACAGATGAGCCAAAATATCACTCAGAGTTGAGGAGAATAACACTGTCTATCTCACAACAACAGTGCATGTCAAGGGCCGGGATTAGAACTAGATGGTAAGTGAGTCAACTTGTTGGATGCGAGAGACGGATTAAATCGTTACGGCTACAAGGATCTGCTTCTAACATCTTGGTACCTGGAACCCATGCCCTAGCAGGTCAGAGCTGTTGTGGCGGCATGTGTAACAGCATATCAAGCAGGTGGTCATTATGTTTTGACTCATCGGCGTACGTCCGCTGCCGGTGCAGGGTTGCATAATGCAGGGAACCAGAAAATTTAGCTCCTGTCTTTATGCTTGGTGTATTTTCTGCAGTAGCCATGGTTACGTGAAATGATCGAGATTGCCGTCTAAATATCATCTATTTATACAGCAATCACTAACAGCTGTGGCAGGAGAGTGGGAGCTCTTCTTGCTGCTTCCATCAAACTCAGTCCAACTGATGAGTGAAAGTACTTTCAGACCTAAAAAATTACATTAATGTTATCCTCCATTTGAAAGCATCTCAGAGCCCTAAATATCCCAAAAATATATTTTCTTTCTCTACTTGTTGTTCCTATGTCCCTTTTCACTGGTCAGAAGTGAAACATGCAATGTCATGTTCTTCTGAGCACCAATCATGATCGAGCAATATTTAAAAATTGAAATCTGTTCACAGCTGGTACTTTGCTTGCCTCTGTAGAAGAGGTTTGCTGTTAAACTCTTTATCTGAAACCATCTTTTCAGGGACTTGAAGGATGTTCACGTCCACATTTGAACTCCCTCAATCACTTCAATGAGCACTCCAGGAAAGAACAAACTGCAACACTCAGCAAACTGTTAAAAAGTCCAAAAACTGTTAGATCTGCAAAAACTGACTGCAACGCGAAGCTACGTCACCCTGCACCCCTCTGTGTAGATCAAACGGGGAAGTGGACACATTGCTTGTATGTTGTATTTTAACGTGGAGAAGGCAATTACTATTTACCTCAATACGGCCATGACACATAAATGAATTCTAGTACTGTGAAGTGCTTTTGCATCTGATCAGCCTTTGCACTCTTTGTTAGCCTCGCATGGCAAACCCCTTTAACATATAATAGCCAGACTGGATATGTATTGTTTGGTTTATGTGTATGGGATTTCTGATTACAGCGGTGTACAATTTAGCTGCAGATCGTAATTCCAGATTCAGATACCTACTATTTATCCCTGACTAGTCATAGTTCTTGTTCAAGATATCTTTAATTCCCCTCAATTCAAGATATCTTATTTTAACTTGAGAAGCTACAGCGAGATGGAAGCAGCCTGCGTTTCCAACTTACTACGGCGCTGTAACCACATATAACGAGCTGTTTTACCATCATGTCAGCGCTGCCTGAGGCCGAAGTTCTCATAAATTTCAGCCACAAGTCTCGGATGAACAGAGTTCTCATTGTCCATAAACTCCTCGCTGACTTTTCTAAACAGTGGCGGCCATTACTTCTGCTGACACCGTTCACAAATGCTTATCATGCAATATCCAATCAGAAGCTCCAAATGAGGAGCATCCTGCAGAACAATTCTGACCAATCATAAAGACTTTTGAGATATCGACAGCTACTCCAAACTGAAGTTACAGATATCTCTAACTGTGGTTTTAAATAGCCAGAATGATGTTATCGATATCTTGAAAAAAACAAATCTGACTAGTCCAGTTGTTGGTAGCAGAGATTTTAATACAAGACAGTCAGACTCAGCTATTAAATGTTAAAACGGCATGCCATAGCCTTGTGTTTTATATACTTTACGCAGTACTTTCTTGTTCTGTAAGATGTTGGTTGAATCTGAACCTTGGTATCTCGCATTATGTGACCCTCCATCAAACATTATCAGTGATATCAACATTCATGTCTGCCTGTGTCCTTTGGATCGATTCAAAATGTTAGTTACACTACAAATGGACTGGGAGTTGCACTGCTTGTATGTGTGTGGCATAATAGTGTCAGAGAACCCATCATTCTCTTCTCTGACTTCCACAAGTGACCTTCTGACGCACAACCCATAAGTTACACAAGCTTGAACCTGTCTGTACCAACAGGAGGTGCAGTACACAACATCGGAGAAATGACCCCTCTCCTCTTCCTAGACTTCTGCTTCTTTTCTTCAGAGGTCTGAGGAGCGTTATCGTCTTCCTCTTCTGCTTCTTCCCTCAAGCGCAATGTTCGTTTCCCTTTGTCGCTCTTCGTTGTCTCAGTCTAGTAGCCCACCCCGAGGACCTTCTTCATGTGCTCGTAGACCACATATGAGATGCTGACTGCAGGAATGACTTTCAGAAAGTTGGGGGTGATGCCTCGGTAAAGGCCCGGAACGCCTTCATGAGATATGATGTATTTGAACTGGCCCACCATGGTGAGCTTGGGTTTACCCTCAGTGATGGCTGAAAGAAGAAGTTACAGGAATATGATGCAGATCAATTGCTGATCATTCCAATGGATCCGTACATCTCTAGTGACCGGATCTAAAGTATGTCTCACCTTGTGCCTGCATGCGTGTCCGTATGAGAGCGAGGGGATAAGATGCCAGCTGGCCACAGGTGCTGGAGACAGTACCACAGCCGAGCAGGACCAGAACTCCTGGGTCTGCAGAATTTACACAGTACCTCTGGAGCCAGGCGTTCTTAAGAGTCTTCAAGCATGAGTAGTGACAAAGGAGGAAAGAGAGTAAGACAGAGAAAACAAACGGGAGTCAATAAACGTGCAGTAAACAGGAGGTTTAGAGTCCACAGTGAATGCACGGTCCTGATAGTGAAGCACGGAGGTGGACGTGTGATGATATGGAACTGTATGAGTACAGAAGGTGTTGAGGAGATGGCATTTATTGGTGGCATAGCCAGTGTCTGTGGATATGCAAAAATACAGGCTGACGATGTGACTCCCAGTCAGCAGAGACTTGGCGGAAGAGAAAATATTCCAGCATGGTAATGATCTAAAGCACACATAAGATGTTTCTAAAGACGAAATACTGAAAACTATGAGCTGGGCAAGTATGTCACCTGACTTTGATCCCCCCCCAAAAAACAAACACCTTTAAGATGTTTTAAAGAAAAGCATAAAGCAGCACAACCCCTCAAGCAAAGAGCAGCTGAAAAACTGACTCTGAAGGATGACCGAACATCTCTCCAGAAGTTTATGCAACAGTGGTTTCCTCATCGCTGAGGAGGATTGAGTTTATCAGCAAAAATAAAACTGAACATACAAAATACTGAAAAATATTTATACTTATATCTTAGAAATTAAACATTTAATGATTGACTGGGGCTGCAAGGTGGAGCAGTGGTGAGCACTGTTGCCTCACAGCTAGAAGGTCGCAGGTTCGTGTCCTGGTGAGGACACCCGGGATCTTTCTGAGTGGAGGTTGCATGTTGTAGCCCTGCGATAGACTGGTCCCCTGCCTTCGCCCTAAGTCAGCTGGGATAGACTCCAGCCCCCCCGCAACCCTAATGAGGATTAAGCGGTGTATAGATGATGGATGGATGGATGATTGACTGATTTATTTCATGCATTTCCTACTGCAGGGCCTGTACTTTCATGTAGTAAAACTAAACCATTTGTAAATTTTCACAACAGCAAATAGTTTTTGTTCAACTTAGAAATAACACAATGACTGTAAGGTGATACAATTTTGAATTATTTGACAGTTTAAGTGATTTTACACAGGGCTGTACTCACCTCTGTTGTGTACTGCACACATGCACATACACACTCACAGTAAATACGAATGCATACATACCTCATACACAGCCAGGTCGATGCCAGCGTAGGGAATGATGCCCAATGTATTTGGTAGGTAGCCTCGATAAAAAGCTCGGACGCCCTCCGTCTTCAGGATCTGTTTCGCACAATCAGCCATACCTGAGTATTGTCCCGTCTTTCTTAATGTAAGACGAGTTTTCAGCACCTACCCAGCCAAGGGGGGCAAGAGAAGAAGGAGTTAAAAGAATTTAATGGGGAGTTATAGGAGGTTCTTCAGTGGGACAAAGGAAACAGAACCAGTCTTCGTGCCATTTAATAGGAACAAAAATAGCATCAAAAGGTCATGGTCTGCTGCTGATCTTGGTGTAGTTTGTAGTAGCAGCCGGCTAAACAGGTTTTTCCAGACATTCCTATACTCACCCACATCCTTTACCTTTGTCTAAGAAAACCCAAGGAGTCCCCAGGTGGACATGCTCTGAAAACCTACAGATGCCTAAATTAACCCCTTTCCTCTCAGCAGCAGCAGTAAAAATTCTACTGCTGTATGTATAATGACACTGGCCCCAATTGTGCATTGTTTAAAAGCACAAAGCTCCACATAAGCAGGAAAGCACTATATACACTGATCAGTCACAACACTAAAACTGATGAGTATGGGTGGTGGGATACCTGGGGCAGCAAGTGTACAATCAGTTTGGGAAGTGTGTTGGAAGGAGGCAAAATGGGCAACTTAAGTGGAGCGACATTGACAAGTGCTGGAAACCTTTTTGCTGCCATGAAAGAAACGAGTCAGAGCAAACAATGCATCCCAGCTTGCTTCACACGGGGCTATATAGCTGCAGACGAGTAGTAAATCCTGATAGGGGAAAAAGGCAAGCAGGTGGAAACAGTGTGATGTTCTTGCCAATGTTCTACTTGGAAGCCTTTGGTCCTGCATTTATGCGCACGTTTAGGTGAGTGCTACACGTTGCAGACTGCATACAGATTGCATATTCATGGCAGTGGTATTCTCTGATGGCAGTTGCCTCCTTCAGCAGGATAATGCTCCCTATCACACTCCAAACATTGTTCAGGAATGGTTTGAGGAATATGAGTTGAAGGTGTTGACCTTTCAAATTCCCAAAGACCTCAATCTGATCAAGAGCCCATGGGATGTGCTGGAAAACCCACCTTACAACTTTCTGGACCTAAAGGGTCTGCTGCTAATGTCTTGGTGCCTGATACCACAGGACACCTTTAGAAAGCTGTGCAGTCCTGCCCTTGATGGGTCAAAGCTGTTTTGGCGATATTTGGCATATCGTTGTAATATTGTGGCTGATTAGTTGTAAATTCATTGGCATTAATCTCTAAACCTACAATGCGCCAGTGCCAATTGGACATTCCTAGTCCACTGAAAAGACAAAATAATACTTGGGTGCCAACTGTGGTCAATGAGTCTAGATGTCAATGTACACTGATGTAGAACCCATAAGTTTATTTCAAAATTAATACTCTGAAGTGTGTAAACTGTCCACAAACAGAACATATAGTCTGGACTCTACGTAACATAGAAGGAAGATACAGGAAAACAATAAAGAAACTAATCATAAAAAGGAATGACACAAATTTGAAACTGACCTCCATGGGGTAGATGATGGTCTGGGCAGTTGCTCCAGCCAGAGAACCAGCAATGAACCTCTCTTGTACCCTTAAACTGCCACCTTCTTTACAACCCCGGATCAGCCACTTGATCTGTAGTAATAAGAGTAACAAATATTAGAAGGTGAAAGTCATGTAAGATGTCAGGAGGGTACAGAAGAGCTGCAGTCGTACAACACCACACTGTATTTAATTTCCATGTTATGTATGAAAGTAATGCAGAATTCATTAAAATTGCCGAGAACCATTAGGTCGTCCCACAAATAAATAATTACTTCCTCTTTCTTTTCTGCTTATGTAAACACTTAGCAGGCTAATGGACAGATTTCAACTTTGTCACTAATTGATTGGAGCGCACCAACCTGTTCATAGGCCATAAACTTAATAGCAGATTCAGGGGCAATCTTTAGGACATTGATGCCATTGCCCCTCCAGAGTGAAGCGATGCCTCCTTCCTGAACCATACCCCTCAGGCCGGACCACAGATTAATCCCCCGAGAAGTAGAGCCGTGCACCTGGAGACACAAACGTTGGCAGGTCAGTCGTCTAACTATAACCTGTGCTATGCTTAAACTGTTACTGGGCTGGGTGGCAGGTAGAACTCTGGTACAGATGCAGATAAAAACAGAATGCAAAGGAAGAGGTTTTCCTTTGTAGGTCCAAACACTGCCTCAGATAAAAAGTTGGGGAGCTTGTAAATGTCAGCGTGTAGGTGTGTGATCTCTCTTTCTCATTTGTGATGAGGTAGCCGTTACAGACTGACCATCTTTGGCTGAATTTGTCTGTGTGTGTCTGCTGGCTACCCCTTTTTCTTGGTTTTGAGAACAGTGTTGAATCTTGTAGAATTCTCCAGCAAAGTAATGGTGAACGGTATTATTGTCACAATGGTTCCTGCAGAGCTATATAGTGCTATTGTAATCTAGCCTTGTGACACACTGTCATTGAACCCACTTACAGTAAGCCAGTATTGCCATGGAGACTCAGTGGCCATCAATCCAGGTTTAGACCTAAAAGTTCTGCTGATCATTATCAGTCACTTCTCTGTTGCCTGAATGGCTTTCAACACTGTTCAAGCATATTTCGGCTGAGAAAGCTCCAGTTGCTCACCCAAACCACCTACTAGTGACTGAGTGCAAGTTAACATCAGTGCAGCATGTGAAGGACAAAGTCAACCTTTGAACGACAGCCACAGGTAGATCCTGCCACGACATTACATTCACTCAGCTGATATGGAACTGTAACAGCTGTTAGCACTGCAGATATCTAGCAGCCCATTCACTGTACATAACTGTTAAATACCCTCTCCTGAGTGGTGTGCAGGTGGGAAGGAGAATAACAGTAAATCTCACCTCTACACTAGTGCCTATAACTTTCTAACTCTGTGTATCAGTAATCTGATGAGGTAGATGGTTTGTTACCACTTGAGAAGTCGACCATTGAACCCTGGACAGCTGGAGCTGCCTTGCAAGGTAGGTGTATCAGTGGAGAGGCAGTGAGATAACCTTGATAACCCACCTGCAGGAAGACTTTGAGGCGGTCCAGAGGAGCGGTTCCTGTCCGGGACACCGCCCCTGCCATGGCTCCAGCAACCAGCTGCCTCCACACCAGGCCGGATCGCCGCTCCCGCTCTGAGAACTCATCTGGCACTGTCAGATGTTCCCCAATGTCAAACATCTACGACAACATGAGTAATTAAAAGCCCAACTCGTATGTGCTATACTGCAAAGCTTTGCATTAATGTCTGTATCCTCATTTGCAAAACAGATCAAATACCATGCACTCTACATTTATCTTTGGAAATTTAAGCTATGGATGAGCACAGTGTGGTTCAGTATTCAGTCTGTCGGTCCATAATTATCATGAACTATAAGATTAACATAACTGGAAACGAGTGACTTACATGGGAGTGTTTCCAGTGGTGAACAATCTCCTCCATGTTGTGGAGAGGGTTGAAGAGGAAGTGATCGCGCCATTCATTCCAGTCAATGGTCATAGTGCCATCCCTGTCCATGCTGACAATGAGAGAGTTTTTTCAATTAGTTGATCTGTCAATATCTAATTCAATTTGGTCAAGTTTGCAATTCCACTTGTAGTAACTAGTTGAACATTTTAACCATTTGTCCACCACTTATAGTTGCTGCTAACATCTTGGCACCAGATAACACAGTGAACCACAGTACAGGCCTCAGTGGGTTGGAGTTGTTTTGATGCCACACAAAGGACTGATAACTTATTAAGCAGGTAGTGATAATGTTTTAATCTCTTAAACCTACAAGTCTCTGTGTCCCAATCACCACTTCTGAGGGACATCTGGAAAAAAACAGCCAAAGTTGACGTCTACCAAATCAAAAACTGTAAATTAGAGATAAATAACAGCCTTATACCAATGAGTCAGCAATATGGATGTTGTGAAACCAGTTCTACAAAGTCTTAATGGTAACCCAGATTGGATGTAACAGAAAGGAAGCACTACAATGCTTCATCCATTTGAAACAGTGACACCAGGCGGGATAGTCATTGTATGTACAACCTTCTGAAAACGATGGCAGGTTGTGTTTTAAGACCAGATGTGGAAAAGACCCGGTGTTTACAGTCTGGAAAGGGTTATCTTTACATACGTTGTAGCCTATTTTGCATCCCAAATATATACCAGAGGGTCAAAATGGATGTATGAGACTTCATCGGGAGGGTAACGTTTCTGAAAATGTGTTTCTTCTTCTGCTTCATTTGGCTGAAACGAGCATAAGTGGCATGGTAGATATTTTTTGTTGTACCTCTGTCCGGCTAGAATATCACTTTAACCTACAACTTGGTTCATAACATGAAATTTTGAACCTGATAAACTCTAACAAATCCATAGAGTGTGCCCATGACCACACCATAGGCCTTGTATTTGTTATTCAGTGACTACACCCTCGATCCAGCACTTTACCCCGTTGGCTTTTCTTTTTGTTGTCATTTTGTTGTTTTGTACTAACAAAAATTCAGCAGTTTGTTATTAATAATTGCTATTCTTTCTCTGGCTTTCAAATAAACCGTGGCTCAGAGTCTATCCTCTGGTGCTTGTCAGGGCCTGCACACACACACACACTCAGTACCTCTGCAGTACTCTGGAGGCCTGCTCCATGGTAACGTCCACTCCAAGCTTGCGTAGTGAGTGCTGGATCTCTCCCACATCAATTCGCCCTGTATAACATAACAGAAAATGTGAGCGCCACAAACAGCGGTCTGTTGTGAAGGTGATGTTCAGTGTATTTTGTGTGCATTGCTGGAAAACAAGAAGCTGGAACTGAGAAAGAATTGGTGTGTGTGTGCATCTACATGTGTGTGTGCATGTTTGTGAGTGTTTAGTGTACACAAACCGTCATTGTTGCGGTCCAAGTTGTGGAACATTAGCTTCAGCCTTTTCTCATGAGCACGCAGGTACTGAGAGAACTCCTGGAAATCCAGCAAACCATCGTGGTTGATGTCGCTCTCGAGGACGATCTGTAAATGCAGAGAGAGACCGATTTAGCAGGAAGTAAATACAGAGGGGGGTAAAGATGGGATGGAGCAGGCCGGGGTCACGGTGTGTTGATGGTGAAGATGGCATTAAGGTGATGGTGGTGTCAGGGGGTGCAGAGAGTGAGGAGAGCAAAGCACTGTGCCCCCTGTGAAGGTCAAGAAGTAAACCACTTCTTACCTGTCTGCAAACATAATCTCTCCTCTCTTGAACAGGACAAAGAGACAAACAGAGACAGAACACAAGACTAATTCTTACCGCGCTAATGCACTGATTACTTTTCTATCCATCAAAATAATTAATGAGAATCTATTTATAAAGCACTTTTCATACAAATGAAATACAACACAAAGTGCTTTACAGATACAAGTAATAATAAAAAGGCAATAAAATATGCAAACAATAACAAAAACTTGAGTAGTATCATACATTGAATAGACTAAAATATCTAACTAAATAGAGTAACCAATGAATGGAATTTGTTCTAAAAATAGTCATAGTAATAATCAAATTAATCAAAAGCCGGACTAAAAGCAGGTCTCTGCTGCCCTCGGTTGTTCTGTAAGGCTGTTCCACAGATATGGGTCATTACAACAAAATGCTGCCTCACCATGGCTTTCTATTTTGACTTTTGGTTTAAAAGAAAGACAACAAGCAGAAGACCTGAGGGTTCCAGAGGGTTCATAGGATACATAGGACCAATACCATTAAGAGCTTTCTAAACCACTAAAAGAAACAGGCAACCAGTGACTTTAAAACTGGTGTCATGTGAGCTCTCATTCTGGTTTTGTTAGCACCCTTGCTGTCGATTTTTGAATCAGTTGACTTGGAAAAATTTAGGGTGATCAGATCGGAAAGTAATACAAAATGCAATCTGCATGTATAAGTTTCCCTGTATTTTCTTGAGAGATGACTATCTGGCAACATTTTCAAATGATAAAATGCCACCTTGGTTATACTGTTATTGTGGGGCTGAAAACGGAGGGTTGCGTCCAAGATGACTCCAAGATTTTATTACTTGCTCCACTTGGTTCAGCTGGTGAGAGTTCTCTGCCATCCACATTGGCCTTGGGTGATCAGCCATGTACAGCTGTGCAACCTAAAATAGAACTCTGAGGAATACCATCATTTTATAGCTTTTAGATGTCCGCTTAGAGCTTCTGGGAACGAGCTGAAGTCTTCATGTATTACAAGTATTTGAATCTCCACTGTGAGAGGACGACGCAAGCTACTTGACATGCAAAATATATATACCAAGCATTTAACTGAATCTGAGTTGCTGGCCTTGGGCCCCTGTCTGCTCCCCTTGCCCATGGGCCAGATCTATCCATGACATGAACATGAATGTTGTGACTTAGTATTCCAGCTTATTACCAATGTGATGGACATTTTCATCTGTACTACCAAATGTTGCACAGGAATGTAAATGGACACTCAGCAAACATGCATACACATGATTAAAACTCTCTTGAGCTATAAGGTAATCAAAGCAAGAGAAAAATTAGCACAACTTTGTATTTGTAATCCCATAAAAACAGGGTAAAGGTGCCAGAGAGTCCCAGAGGCTTTGTGTTCAAGACGTACGGCATCTTTATTTACCAGCCTTTGTCCAGTTCTGGCTGGTGCATGCCACATTTTTCGCTCTAATCCTTTTACACTCGTCACACAAAGTTGATGACAGAACAAAATCCACGAATTACTTCTACTCAACTTCTCCTAGTCTCAACCGATGGCCTGAGCCCAATAACAAACAGCTTCAATGTCAGTCACATTTGTTTGTCCATTTGTAACCTGGATACTAAAAACTTTTCAACAGACTTCAGTGGAATCTAAATGGCCTGCTGAGCCTCTTAAAGTAAAAAGTATAACAACGTCTTGATGAAGCACAGCGGTGTTCAGACCATTAACTCTGACCGGTTTGCTGGGAACACTTGTCGACCTCTAAGCAACTCTGAAGAGTCTGAAAAAGTTGAAGAAGTGCCTTCAGCCAAATACCAAAATGCTGCAATGTGTGTAATATTGTTGGGCCTTTGTATAATACGTACCCACTAATTATATTGTGTCTGCCAAGTGTTTGCTCAAAGGGATTAGGAATGAAACTTTGGATTCATTGGGTTTCTCTTTATAATTGTGTAATGCGTTCACCTTACTATGTGAAGTGCCTAGAAATATAACAACTGGCACGATATAAATCAAACTGAATTGAATTTAATTAATGGTATGACTTCATGACTTGGCGGCATGGGCGGTACAGATAATGGATGGATGGACTAAAACTATGTGTAAACACAGTGCATAAAAGTGTGAATGTGGTACCAGTACAGAGTCTGGTGATCCCCAATTTACAGGTTGCGAAGTTGCCGAAATGGTCTAGAAGACATGAACCCATAGTGTTGTGTGACTGTATTGTGTATTGAGTGGTACACATCCACTGCATCCATCAGCTTTCCATTCATTGTCTATGTAAACACTCGCGCAATGCATTCTGGTAGCACTGCCAATTCCTCATTTGCATAAAGTTGAGGTCGAGGCTACTTTATGGAAAGCAGGAGTGTCCAGCTGCCATCTGATGGCTCTGGCAGCCTTGAAAGCAGATTCAACAAGTGCATGATTTATTAACAGCCTCAGATGTTTTCAGAAACGCATTTTGCTGAACTGTTTTTGTAATGTAACGAAAATCCAGGTTTGAAATCCAAAGAGCCCACGAGCATTCGATCAGGTGCAGTCAGTGTTTGCACAGTTGAAGGAGGGTAAAGCCTGTCGTGGTTTCCTGTGAGAGAGCACCAATCATCCATCTATATCGTGACACTGCCTAGTCATGTGCCCATCAAGAGTCCAAAAACATCCATGTGGACATGTACCATTACAGTTTGTATTTAAAGACTACAATGAAAATCATGTTTTCTACCTTGTTGTGTCCGTGTTGTGTACAGTATATATGTTCGTATATGCTGGAGGACACATAATAGGTGAAAGAAGCTATTAATGCCTTCACAGCTGAGCATTTCCACCTTGAAACAGCAGTGCACTGGTGAAAGTCTCATAAATCAATCAGTCTCATGGGGGTTTTCAAGCAGCAAAGCTAAAGAACCAATCCTGCAAGGTGGGACTTTCTGTGTCATTGTTATTGTCTAGAATCACGTATGGCTGAACTACTCCAGTGTTACAACTTGCCACAGTGTATCGTAGCTTCACAGTGTCTGAGCAGAGATGTAGGTGAAGCGGTTTGCTCGAGGTGTGGGTGGAGAGAGAGGCAGGAACTTCAGAAATGTGCATATTCTAAAGGAAGCAGCTGTGTAGAGTTACATCTTAGGCATTTTAAGGCAGGGATTATTTTTCATGGGAAAAATGTTTAAATATGTATCTTTGATACATAGACAGGATTTTTTGGGGTTCAATCAATGACGGGAGATGGATTTTAAAGCCATTCAAGTCTGCTTTTAGACATCGAGTGATATGAGAGTCAGACTGACAAACCAGTTGTCAGCCAAGGTCAACAAACACTGTGGCAGGTTTGTGTTACAGATTGTTAAAATATTTATCCACAAAGTGTTGGATTCCTCTCCAAACCTGAACAGCCTGTCTGTATATGGTGTTCTAACCAGGCCACACAAACTACCCACTGACCTGTAAAAGGGTTGATAATTGACTTAAAATGACAGACTCACTCTGGGGACGTGACTGCACGGTTTTATGTTGCTGCTATTTAAAGTAATAACAATGATCACCCTAATTAAAATAATACACTTATATAGCACATTTCCAAAACAAAGTTACAAAGTGCTTAACAATAAAAAATACATTCAAAGCAATAGGAACCAAAACTTAGGATACAAACAAGATAAAATAATAAAACTGCAACCCTTTTAAGAAAAAGCTACTCAATAAAAGTGAGTTGAAAGAATGACAGTTATAAGATGACCTGCCTGAGATCCTCAAGTAGGGAGTTCCAGAGCTGAGCAGCCAAGACAACAACCACCTTTAGCGAGAAGTCGAGAATTCAAGGTCTTGCCAGAGGTTTTGAAGCAACAATCAGGCTCACAGGGAGTTAGCAGATTCCTGTTACAGGCAGAAGCCAGACCATTCAAAGTTTTAAAACAAGCTATAAAACTAGAAATGTAATTTTAAAAGTCATCAATAGCCAGTGAAGGGCTGCAACGGTTGGTGTAATGTGGTCACTCCTGTTAGTATGTGTTAAAAGCCTGGCAGCCGTGTGGTGTATCCATAGAGGTTTAGCCTGCTGGTACCAGAGTAAAGTGCCCTGCAATAGTCGAATGTGGAAGAGATAAAAACATGCAAGAACATTTTTGAAGTCTTTAGAATAAGGGGATGACCTGAGCTTGGTTACCTGCCTCAGTTGGGCAACGGCAACATACTAGACACCTGAGCATTAAAGGACAGATAACAGTCATAGCACCTAGGATTATAAACATTATTAAATAAGGCAACCAGCTATAGCTACCACTGATTTGGAGCTATGAAATCCCATGTTTAATCTTAGCAAAGCATGATGTAATACAGGACGGACCCATGGTACCGGCCTTTATTGGGATATATAATAGGGTGTCATCAACATAACAATGGAAATCTGTGTAATGGCTATGCATGCTTTGCCTCAGGGGTAACAAATGACAAATAAGAGTTGACCCTTGGGTGATCTCACAAAACAGAGGAGCACAAAAGCAAGAGGTGTCTCCAAGCACTACAGAGAAGAACCAGTTTGGCGAGCAAGAAATCACCCAGAACCACGTCCCCTATTAACATAACTCTTCAGATTGCTGACGGGACAAATACACCTTCTCTGTTGAAGTGGTTGCAACAAACAGGAAGCACTTGATGGTGACGTTGCATTGCTGGAAGTTTTGAAAGCTCCACCTATGTTGTTCACTAATCTGTGACTCCCGTTCCCCCCCCACCGTCCCCAAGCAGTGCACAGTGTGAAAGGCCTTTAAGATATGACGATCCACTCTATCAAACGCTGAGC